GATTAGTTCACAATAATGGATCTTATCTAACAGAACTTTAAAGTTCTTCTAGGTTCCTGGAATAATGAAATCCAAAGTAATTTTTAGACTACCGACACGTTCAATATCTGATGCAAGGTGCCAATAATAAGGCCAAGGTTGGAGGTTCAACCTGTTAGCTTCACTTTGTTCTGTAGCTATAGTTTCTACCACTAATCCTGGCCAGTTGCTTCAGAAGACACGCCAAGACTAACAAGAGGAATGGGGAAGAATGTGTGATTAGACACAAATCCATCATCACTACTGGAAAAACAAACCAAAAGCACATTTCCTATCAACATGTCACCTCTAAGTGACCTTGAGGATGAAACTAGAGATGAGACCTTGCAATTAAATGTGTTTTAGAAATCTTAGAAACTCTTCTACCTCTTCAGGCTCTAAGTACTATCAAAATTCATGCAGAAATCCAGGATTTGCTGTTTTCAAATGATGACAATATTCAGGAAGACATGCAATTTAAAAATGTAATTAGTTGGAGACTACTTTTTTGAATATATTATGTGTACCTCCCCTTTGATTTTTCTTATCTAAGGTAAATGTAAATGTGAGATGCTCATAAATGCTAATGAGCTTATAGACTAGAAATCAACTGATAAACCAAAATAATCTGAGACAAACAAGTGGTGCCCAGAATAACCAGCACATGAGGATGTATAAAGAATGAAGGAAATACACATAAAATAAAATGACAAGATAAGTTAGAAACAGACCAAAGTAATAAAGAGTGGCAGATGGAACGCTAAGGGAACAAAATATTGTGAAGATATATAGGACTGGGCACTTCAGCTTGAACTTGATGTTTTTTTGTATGAAGCCTCTTGACATGTTAAATTGTTACTTTATAGGCCAAATGCAACAGAAGAAAACCCTTTTTAATCCTTTGAGTGGAAACAACAAATAAGACAAGGGGTGAACATTCGGGCAAAATTTCCTTATTCAAACATTCAGTGGGCACCTATCAGGCACTAGATATATTAGTATTTGCTTATGCATAAAAAGAAATCAAAAAAACCCACTCAAGCAGTACATTTTATAACAGTGCACAAACTGAAAACCTGAAAACTAGACTAAGAAGGCAGAATATTACCAATATAGTGTCAAATTCTGCTGCATAACTTACACAATTCTGAGGCTCAGGCCTACCCTAGCTATCATATCTAGCCTACAGTATTGTTTTATCTATATCCCAGATAAGTCATACTTATATCAAGAATCAGAGCAAGACCAACAAGAATAAAATTAAGGAATACAGCCATATTATCAGTGTGCTGAAGTGAATTTTTTCAGAACTCTTTCTCTGTGGGGCTGGACATGTGCGAAGAATGAACAGCAGCAGGATACACAGGAGGTGCTGAACAGCACCTACTACCCCAGTGAAGTAGGGCAGTAACAAGTAGGACTCACCAAAGAAAATTACTTTTCATAAAGATGCAAGATGACAACTATAGCTGGTTAGGAAACTGCTGTCTGGACATCACACAAAGAATAAAATTGCTCTTTTATGACTAAAGGCATCAGGCCTATGATGACCTAGAAGGCAAAGCTAGAAGCAACAGCAACTTTGAGTTGACTACAGATATATACATATATCAAGACTCAACATCTGTTTAGTGTGAACTACAGATCCCAGAAGAGCCAGTCATCCAACTTCAGTGGAGTGTGTCATTTTCCAAAAAGGGGGCAATCAGATGAGGTAGTGTATTATTTTTCAGATTTACGTTTTTCCTACTTCCCAGGAGTGTAAAACATCTTAAAAATTAACACATTTAAACACAGTATTTAACCTGAATTCATAGAAGTACTTGAAGAAATTAGAGATGAGTATACTACAAACTTCAGTTATAAATCTGACTGAAGTCTTTTTTCTAAACTGAAAAGAAAGATGCAAATACATAGTTTCCATTTTCAAACAAATAGGAAGCCAACACAATTTTTTGCATAAATAATTTTCCTTGGAGCTAAACTCAGCAGAAATTTGTCAATCTAGTGTGTAAAAGACAATCTGTAACACACCGAATAGTATTATTAAGTATTATTTTGCAGCAGCATTGTTTTGTCAAAACAAATTCACAAGGCAATTTCCTAAATAAAAACTGATAATTTCCTAATTGTATAAAACAGAAATCATAAACATAAACTACAATTTAAGGGGGATATTTCTGCAAAAGGTTGAGAAAATATAGTTCAAACATCAGTGTTTTGCTTTATCATAGGATAAAAAAAGTAGAAGCTTAAAAAATCTAGATAGCTACTTAGCCTTTTATAACCATCGTTGTGTATTACACCTGGCTTGTGTATTAGACTCACCTGTGATAGTTAGCCTAGACTAAGTTTCGATTTAAGCTAACAAGAGTCTACAACACAGCTATTATACACTGTTAATTAAAGAAAGTGTCACAAACAGGTGTAATAATTTATGAAATAAAAGCTATGAAAGAATTTAGCACAGTAAATTCTACCGTAGACATTCAATAAATGTTACTTTTCTACCTTCCGGAGTAAAGGAATGAAAGCTGGCATTCTCCTGTGGAAAGTAGAGAATCATACTTAGATTTTTGTCCAGAGAAGAAGCTAACACACTGTAGTCAAAATTCAAGGAGTTCTTAATTTTTTCAAATTCATGTCAATAACATAATTTTTATCAATAAGTTAAAATACATATATAAACTTTAAAGTTGCTGAGCATTCTTCTTTTTAGAAAATAAATGTGCTCAAGTGGCACAATGAGGTACATTAATTTGTAATGATAACAGACATTTATTTCGTGTGATTTCAAAAATCCATAGCAAAGGTTATTTGTCAAGGGAATATCTTAGTAATTGATAAGAATGCATTCAACTTAGTAAGTATTGCCATTAAGATAAAGCATGGTAGAATTTTAGAGCTCCAAGGTGCCTTACGGATTTTCTAGGTCAACCCCCTTATTTTAAAAGACGAGAAAACTGCAGACTAGAAAGGTTAAATGATACAGGCCAAATAGCTAGCTCAGCCAGGGTCTTGAGAGCCTGAGCCTCCTGACTTCAAGTACTTTCTTCTTTCTAACAGACTGTGCTGCCTCCTGTGGTTCTGAATCCTCACACTTGGATGTGATTATTGTTTGTTTTCTTTACATTCTACTCTGAACCATAGTTGGCATCTGCAACTTTCCCATAAAATTATAACTTTCCAACGTGTTTTCTGAATGATTTTACAGCTAAATAAATCCTCAGCTTTCTAAATTTCAGAACCGTAAACACAGAATTCAAACAATACTTGAGACAAATGTACAATATACATAATCAAACGCAAAGAAAAATTCTTCTCTCCTGGATACTTCAATCTACAAATTCAAAACAAGGTTATTGTGCACCTCTGACATGCAGGGTCTCTGTTAAATGCTCAGGATATGACAATGAGTAAGATACAGTCCTTGTCCTCAAGTAGCTTATAGCCTAGTAGAGAAGACAAACCAGCAATTACACTGTGCTTGTTAACGACCGTGAAAAAGGGGTGGACAGGTTGCTATGAGTGAATATAGGAAAAGAATCTAATTTAGAATGATGGGATCAGCTAACGGTTTCCCAATGACGTCCTGAACGGCAACAGGAAAAAATGACAGTATCACCCACATTTAGGCGGAGTCCAGAATGAATTAAAAGAGACAGAGCAACTTTTATTCAGGGGAAAAAATTAAAATTGTGTGTTTCGCACAGCGGTTTAGGATCTAACAACTCTCTAATGAGACTGTTTTTCAATAGAAAAGAACCTGATTTCATTGTGGCTATAAAACAAATACAGGTCTTCTACTATTTCTTAATAAAATTTTAAATCACTGTTTTCAAACTAAAGAAAAAAACTGCATCTAAAACATGTCTAATTAATATTTACAACAGCTCTCTGCAAAGCTGCATACGAAAGTCCTCCTCAAATTTCCAGGAAAAAAAATTCCATCTGGTAGAAGAGAAATAACCTGGAGAACCGGTAGCTCAAGAAGGAAGAAAACTACCACTTATATTCACTCGGGGATAAGGAGCACTGAGATTCCTAGATAATAACTTTCAGCTGAAGGATCTAGAAAACAGACGCACAGTGGGCATTTTTATATACATTTTTAAGCAAAGTTGGTGGTGGCGGAGAATCAGAGTGTAGGGAAAATCGTAAATGATTTCCTTTATGGAAGTGAAATGATAAGAAAGAGAAGACACGGTGGGCAAGAACCCAAAAACCAAAGACATAAGGGTGGATGGAAGAAAGACTAGAGGATGGTTTTGGAAAGAGTGATAAAGAGAGGATGGCAGGGAGGAAATGGGGGAGGGGGAGAGTGGGGGAAGGGCTGTCCAAAAAATGATTTCAGAAGGAATGAGATATAAGAGAAAGTAATGAACTGGGGCTACCTCAACCGGAGATAAAATGATACCGGAATACGAAAGGTAGAGGGGCCGACAAAGCAGCAGTGAGTTTTAACCTTCCTTTTCCCAGCCTCTAAGCCCCCCGGAGAGGGAGGAAGAAGTGGTTCCCAAGTCCAAGGGAAGGAATTCCGGCATAGCCTTTGGAACCAGAGTCCGCGAGTTGGGGCACCACCCAGCGGGACCCCGGCCCCTCTCCATCTCCTTCGGACGCTGGGCGGAGCCCTAGGTGTCCGGGTTACCTGGACAGGGAGTCCACGCTGGGCGGCCGTGCTGCCGCCGGCTGGGAGCCAAGACTCTCGCAGCTCGAGCTCTTCTCCATGGCGCGGCGGGGGCAGCAGGGAAAGGCAGAAGCGACCTCCGAGGCTGCGGGGCGGGAGAAGCGGAGGGCGGAGTGCGCCGGGCAGGAGCCGCGGTCAGGCCGGGACCGGCCCGGGAGGGAGACCGGAAGCGGCCATGTTCCCCCAGCCTGCACCGCGCCCGGGGGCTGCCGGGGAGCGGGAGGACCCCGGCGCGGTGCCCCTCCGGGCCTGCCCGACGCGCTGGGCGCTGGGACGGGAGGTGACGGCTCTTGGGGTGAGAGGAAGGGAGGAACGAGGACCGCGTGGAAGGAGAGGAAATTTTAGGTCTAAGAGAGAGGAATAACAGAAGAAAGAGACGAGGATCTGAGGGATGGAGATGATGGAGACTGGAATGTGGGGGTCCAGGAAGGTGAGAAGACAGAGTAATAAAAGAATGTGGGCGAACAGTAGGATGAAGGGGCAGAGGGACGTGGGGGTCAGGCAGGGAGGAAGAGAACTTAGGGGCACATAAAGGATGAGGATACGAGAGATGAGATGGCAAAGTGTCACCAGATTAGGGGCTGAAAATAATGATGAAATAATTATTAATTAAATAATGATTCAGGGCTGCTTTGGAGCCAGTTAGACATGGATTCAGATCCTCCCTCTGCCAGTTACTCGCAGTGTAATGCAGGCATTGAACATCAGCTTCCTTCTCTGTAAAACAGGGAGAAGAATAATAGCTTCACAGATTAGATGAGTTAATACATATAAAATGCTTAAAACAATGCTTGACACATAGTAAGCCCTCAAATGTTAGCTATTAGTATTGCTACCTACTTCATAAGGGTTTTGGGATGGAATGAACTAATGTATATAAACAGTTTCTAACACAACTTCAATAAATGGTAGCTGTAGGAGGGGAAGATAGAGGAAGGGTGGCAGACAAGAAGTGATTGGTATGGGAAGGGTAATGGGGAAAGTGTAGGACAGGTAGAAAAAAAATTAATGCTCATCATTTTTATTTCCTTTCCACCCCTGGCCCAGCATTGTAGAAAGGGCGCTAGAAAAGAAGCTGAAACTTTCAGGCCTACTATGACTTGGTTTGAAGTCTGTGTGGTCTGGAAGTGTCTGTAGGGGAAAAACAATTTGGCGTTAATCCATCGTCCACGCAAAGAGGAAATGGGGAGGGAACTGAAAAACATGCAAAAAGAATTAGAGACATAGACTACTGGATGCAGTGGTGTTGGATAGAGGGCAAACTTTTAGCAATCTTTCCTCGCCTTCTCAAATTCTCCTGCAGGGCAGGAAGGGAGGGGAGAGGGATAGACTTGTGATAAGAGAACAGGAACTGGGTGAAGAGGAAATGCTTCTGCTGGTAATTTTCTGTTACAGAGGATACAGGAAGGACATAGAAAGGATGCCATAAAGGAATTTTTCTGATTAAGACTGAATCCCAAGCACATCAAGTATGGGGTGTAAAATTATGCAAAGATTATTTCTGGGAAAAATTAGACAAGTAATCATTTTTTTGAAAACTTTCTTGCTGGGATAAGTAGAATTATGTTGATTTAAACTAGATTTAATTTATACAAACAACTGATGTTTTTAAGAAAATCTTAAGGTATAGGGCCAGTGAAATATTGACTTGCAAGTACATTCCACAGAAGAACAGCCCAGCTTAGTTGTGTTCAGCATAAGCTAGAGTACTTATTAAAATGAATGAGTATGTGTTTAAGCACAAAAGGCTTAGCCTTTCTCTTCCCTTCTCCAGCTCGGTAAGGACAGGACGGCAAACAGTGGTTTTTATTTCTATCATTTTTAAAGAGACCTTAACTGTACTCCTCTGATAGGCAAAGAGGATAGGGAGTCAGAAACACATAACAAGCATACACATCTACAGTGATTCATAAAAAAATTTGCTCCATCCCTACCTGCCTTCCAAAATGCTGAGTGACTGTCGTCGGATACTTTGACATAGATTTTTCCCAGTTAAGTTTGATGAAGACTGATGAATCCTTGAATGGGAGACCCAGGTACTTTCTGTTACCCTTCATTTCTAGCACTGCATTAATAGAGCACTTGAAACTGTCTGCCTGATGATGTAATAATTTGTGTATGGATCTATTTGGTGATTAGTAAAGATCAGTAATGTAAGTGTAGAGACTTTGGAACTAGACAAATCTGAATTGGAATCCTGGTTCTGTCACTTACTTGCTGTATGATTTTGATTAAGTAGCTTCTCCGATACTCAGTTTTCTCATCTCTTAAAATGGGAATAAAAATATATTCCACATAAAGAGCTGTTTTTCTCTACACAGAGTTGATTACACAGTAGGTTCTTAGTAAATGGGTCTGTTGCTATTATTATTTCTTCTTCCTCTGAGTTTTAATGCTTTACTTCTAAATACTAAAACAGTAACTTCTCAGAGTGAACAACTAGCAAAGAATAATCTCAGCTGAAAGTTAAATTAGTACTGAATTCTTCTCCGACATAGTGGCTGCTATGTCGTATACCCAAGAGAAATCAACTTGATTAGGACTTTCTGCAATCAGTTTTCTCATCTTTTAAAAGAACATTTTAGCCTATCCCAGGCCATTCAGGAACTATTGCTATAATCAAATTACAGTCTAGGCTCATCTCTCCTGTTAAATGGTTAACTTGAGATCTTTCCAAGATGTTTTCTTATTTGAAATCTAGGCTAGTGTTTCTCAAATTACTACGGGAAGAAGCAGTGTTTTTGTTTTTAATTTCCAAACCATTACCAAGCAATGCTTTTTTAAAAATAAGCAAAGTTAATTACTAGAAAAATGAAGTTTAAGAAAAACCAAAGGCATGTAAATACAAGGCCACTTTTTAAAAAATATTTAACAGATGTACAATTACTCTGTAAAAGTTGCATGAAAGTTTCTAAACACATATTCTCAATTCTATTCTCATCTCATCATAGACAGGCAACACATAGTCCATGTACAGGCACTGGTTGGTGAACCACAATTTGAGTGGCTTCTATAGGTTTGGGATTGGGATCTATAGGTTTGTTGTCTGTCAGTTTGTCAGAGGCTGTTTATTAGATAATCTGAATCAGAATAAGGAAACTTCTAGGGGCCAGCCCCATGGCTGAATGGTTAAGTTCACGCGTGCTACTTCAGCAGCCCAGGGTTTTACTGGTTCGGATCCTGAGCCCAGACATGGCACCACTCATCAAGCCATGCTGCGGCGGCATCCCACATAGCAGAACCTCTAGAAGGACCTACAATTGGAATATACAGCTATGTACTGGGGGGGTGGGGAGGGAGACTTTGAGAAGAAGAAGAAAAAACCATAAGATTGGCAGCAGATGTTAGCTCAAGTGCCCAACTTAAAAAAAATAAAAAGAATAAGGAAACTTCTCTTGAGATAGTAATGTGGTGAGTTATGAATAGACAAGTAGAGGGATACTTCTCCTTCTCTTAAAACACATGTGCCAACAACATAATCCTTGGAAAGATCAAGCATGCATAAACTTTATAATTAATTATTTCTGTCCCAAAATTTAATTTTTTGATTACTTTAGTTTGGAGAGTTCCACTTCTAGAATGGAGAAGTAAACTCCCAACAGACTGGCCTTTCTACAGATACTGGCTATAAAATAGACAAAATAAAGAAACAAGTACTTGAGGAGTCAAGAGAGTGAACAGAAGCATGCAGAGTCAAAAATGTCTAGGAAGTGATCAAGACAGAGTGAGTTTCCCATTTTTGGTGGCTTTGACCTCTGGACAGACCAAAATTGTGGTGCAGTGCAGGGTGGCAAAAACTCATATAGAAAGCCCGCTATCCCTCGGGCCTGAGGAACCAAGAGGAGGGAGGACAAAGCAGCTAGAGAATGAGGCAGGAATTCCAAAAAAGAGAATCTGAGAGGGGAACTCTAGACTCTGTATATAAACTCAGACAATCTCTGACTAAGCCCTAATTTGATATGAATAACATAAAGGTAGAATGCATGTGGCTCAGATAAAAAGAACCAAAAATGGAATATCCTAGTCTTCTAGATAAAAGAACTAAAACAAGATTTGAGTTCTTACCCAGGATAAGGAAGACAAAATTTTCTGTTTGTTTCAAACCAAGTTAATTTCATGGTAAACAAAAGCATCAACACTTTGAAGAGCAATAAAACAGAATCCAGAGACTCTAAGACAATATTTATAATGCCAAAGACACAATTCATAGTTACTTGACATAAAAAGTACTAAGAAAATGGGGCCTATTCTCAAATGAAAAGATAATAAAGAGAGGCTGAATTCCAGATGACACAAATGTTGGAATTATCAGACAATAACTTTAAAGCAGCTAACATAACTGTTAAATGCAGTAAAGAAAAATACTGTAATCAATGAAAAGATAGTAGAACTCAGTAGAGGAATCAAATACATAAAAAAAGATACAAATGGAAATTTTAGGAAAAATACAATACCTAAAACAAAAAGATTCACTGGCTGAGCATAATGACAATGAATTTACAGAGAAAAACATCAGAAACTTGAAGATAAATCAATAGAAATTGTCCAATATGAAAAAGAGAGAAAAGAGATTGAAAAAGTATTAACAGAGCCCAAGGGACATGTGGGACAATATCAAAAGGTCTAATATACAGATAATTGGAGTCCCAGAAGAAGTAGAAAAAATTAGGCAGAGAAAGAACTGTAGCCAAAACCTTGCCAAATTTGACCAACAACATAAATTTACAGGTTCAAGATGCTCAGCAAACACAAAACAGGATAAATACAAAGAAAACCATGTTTAAGCACATCATAATTAAACTTCTGAAAACCAAAGATGAAGAGAAAATTTAAAAACAGCTAGAGAAAATTGATACATTACCTATAAGGGAACCATAATTCTAAAGGTCATACATTTCCTAACTGATATTATGGATATAGAAAACAGTAGAGCAACATCTTTAAAGTGCTTAAAGAAAACAAAAGGTCAAAACAATATATGTCTTCCATAAAAACATCTTCAAGGATCATGGTGAAAGAAAGACATTTTTAGATGAAGGACAATTAAGAGAATATGTTGCCAACAGACACCCAGTACAAGATATGCTAAAGGAAATTCTAAAGGCTAAAGAGAAATGATACCAAAAGACACTTGGACATTCAGGATGAAGATTAAGAATGGAAAATATCTGGGTAAAAATAAGAGACTATTTTCCCTCTTAATTTCTTTAAAATACATATGACTAAAGCAAAAATTACAACATTTTCTTGCAGAGTTTGTAATGTGTGTATATATAATATATATGAAAATTAAAACATAAAGGTTGTCAAAGGTTCATTGTATATGAGACTATATAATTGCAAAGTTTCATTCAGAGATGAATGAGTAAAGAAAATATAGACATGGCAGAGCAAGAAAGAAAATATGGGTAGCTATTATAATCTTAATTT